TTTCATGTGATTATTTAGCTGAACACTCCATTCGACACTATAAATTCTTCCTCATCAACTGCAGCTCAACTCTCACGGGTAATCATTCATTTCTAGTCCTCTCATCTTTTCTTAACAATCCTTTTTTGTATTCTGCCTTCTCAAATTGCACCAGCCAACGTAATAAAGAAAAGCGAAAAACTTTCAGTCTTAAGCACCACATATGCCTTTGAAATTTTCAACGTTAGGTGGTTCTTCGGGCGACTTTTACGAAAAAAAAAACACTTTTTGATATTACTTAACCCTTTAGGGTCGAAGTGCGAACTATACATTGCACTGAAAATTTGATAATTCATATTTAGCCGCTGTTGGAAGGATATGTGATATATAAACTGCATTGAGAATTAGTGGCTTGTTTAATGAACAGAGCTATTTCACTAATATTTTAGTGGCTACTCAATAGCTTAAGAATTGAAAATCTTAATACTGCGCTTGATTTTCAAAAAAGCCTTCATACTGAGTTGGAGCAGCGAAGAAAAAGTGACGTTTCAACGTCGGAATGCATCTGCTCTCGTGTTTGTTTCACTTTCCACTAGACTTTCAGTAGTCATTGAATAGCGTGATATACGGCAATTCTAACACTGGATTTGCTTTCTGAGAAGGGTTGAATACGTCGTAGAAGCAAAAATAATTTTATGTTTCGCTCTCGAAGTAGTTAATTCGCTAATTGAACTTTGCAGAGAACTAAATGGTACCTATATAGTGAAGCAGTGAACTTTAATAAGTCGTCATGGCTTTTAGAAGATGGAATTCACTGGAGAGACTCCTACATCGGTAGTTTTGGTGAAACAAACCGTCCAGGTTTTCCAAAAGTCTTCATCTTCTGATGAAGAACCATATTCCTGCAAAAAAAATCATATGTTCAACCATTATTGTACATTTCGGGGAGCTGTGGCCGAGTTTGTGTTCGTTGCGGCACACGTAGTCCACTTGTGGTAACATTTTTGATGAGCGGATTTGGAACATTCTAAACAAGTATGCATTCTACATTTGCTGCACCTCTTATGTACTAGTCTAGCTGTAAATCGTATAGATGCGACATTTTCATGCTTTCTTAGCTTTCTATAGCTCCAATACAACGCCTTAGTTTTTTGAACCAAGAAAGTTCTTTGAAAAACAAGGCTGATTGTCAGACATCTCCTCAAACTCGGTGAACTCGATAGTCCCTACACAGTCTCTGTGGAATTATCAAGCATCTGTTCGTCTTCATAAATATGTGCTCGACTTAGTACTAGAGCAGGCTTGCGTACCTAGACGATGAGTTTAAGCCTTCCTCAAAAGAGTACTCTTGACACGCCGATACTTCTGAAGTCTATATAAGCAAGTAGACGCTCCAGCAATGTTGCACACATGACATTTGAGCAACACTCATTCAAAGGCATAGGACAACGCATTTTTTTACTGCATTGAAAGTTGTTTTTTTCACCCACTTTCTCTCTGCTCACCGTAGACACATGTCTGCTCTACAATCGAGTATTCTTCCTCTTTAAGCAGATCTAAGGTTGTTGACAGTAGTATTTGTTGAAAAACAATAGTAAAACAGCTTCCACAACTCCAAACTAATCTGCCATCATGTCCCGTCTTATACTTGGAGAATTGGAGGGCCTGTATTCATTGGTAGTGTGAGCTGTAGCACAATTTCTATTCGTTTCTCTTTTGTGCAGTTGTCGTCTTGGTGATAGTCCGATTCGAGCCTGGTGAAGTATTTGAAGCTCAATCCCTGATTCTAATCTTGTTGCAGTCTTGGGAAGCAGATCACGGCCCACCTATCGTTTGAGTAGTTCCCGACGTTTCCGCATCATTTGCCCATCGTTTAAGTGATCTTACAAGAGAAGGCTTGGTTTCAGTTGGAGTGCACTCCACTGTTATTCTCATCCGTCATCTGCTCTTCTAAATATGTGACCGGCCCATCTGTGTTTCACTATTGATGCATATACTTTTGAATCATGAAGATGAGATAGTTTTTGAAGATCTAAGCTGCGCGAACCCAACTAGATGTCGTGAGCGCCGACTAAATTTCAGAAGGGCCGTTCAAGCGCCCTTTGGGTGGTGAACAGATTTTTGACGAGGTTGTAGTATCATATTCCTAAGAGAATTGAGTGGTGAGCAACGACCTCAGGCGGGATTCGAACCCACGTTTCATCCTATCCGGGACGCGTGCTCTACCACTGCACCACTGAGGCACATTTGCCCTACCACTCATTCTTCAACATCTTAATGTTAGCTATCAGCCACCAACCTTTGACAGGTTTGGTCGCGTATGCGATTTCGCTTTATGAACCCAGTTGAGCTGACAACTATTCTAATTACTAAAAGAATGAGTGGTCGGGCAAATGTGCCTCAGTGGTGTAGTGGTAGAGCACGCGTCCCCGGATAGGATGAAACGTGGGTTCAATTCCCGCCTGAGGTCGTGTTTTTGTTCACCACTCAATTCTCTTAGTTATATAAGAAACATCATAACACTGCGAAAAAAAGCAGTAAAAATACTATAATTTCGAGTATTAGTAATTAGAATAGCTGTCAGCTCAACTGGGTTTATATAGCGAAATCACATACCCGACCAAACCTGTCAAAGGTTGGTGGCTGATAGCTAACATTGAGATGTTGAAGAATAAGTGGTCGGGCAAAGGTGCCTCAATGGTGTAGTGGTAGAGCACGCTTCCCCGGATAGGATGAAACGTGAGTTCGATTCCCGCCTGAGGTCGTGTTTTTGCTCACCACTCAATTCTCTTAGGAATATAGAAAACATCATAACAGTGCGAAGTGCATTAATAATACTATCAATTTCGAGTTGTAGTATCAGTTTACGTCTCTGTTGCATAATAGGGCGCCGGAAGGACTGACGAATCGAAGAGGTGAGGACAAAGTTTTGGGTCTACTATCTGGTCGGTGCTTACTTTAAGCGGTGCGAATGCAGCCCGTGCTCTCTTTCTTTTGTCTAGATCCTCCTTCATGTTGTTTTCCATATTCATTGAACGTCCAGAGTACACGTGCTAGGTGGCCGCCAAAACCAGAGAACCATCCAGCTCAATTTGCTCACCTTCGCACCATGGACTCTTCATGAACTAAAGACTAGTCTTTTACTTGTCCTAAAGATTCATTAGTTAGTGTCCACTGATGAAATTGCATCTACCGGTCCATCAACATTTAAGTTAAGATCCATCATTAGTTGTGTGAGCGATCCCACTGATAGAACAGCTTTCTCAATAAACATGATACTCATGTAACTGCTGAAACACATCCCAGACCATCTCACAATTACTCAAATGTTCTTGGATCGTTTACATATTCCGCTCCTCAGCAACGCTCATGTGATGAAGTTTTTCGACTTACTGCCCTTTACGCTGACGTGTCGAATGGTTCTTCAGTGTAAACCGTCCGACATTTCCTTATGCAACAGAGTGAGCAATAAATACGTATGCCTTTTGCTTCACTGGCACATGGCCTTCCCAACAGGTTGTGCGCAAAGTCCGTGTCTTTTTGATTTTTTATATGATTTATGCAATGAAATTGCATGATTTTAAGATTGTCCAATTGCAAATTTTCTTGCAAACATTTTGGTGTACAACTTGCCAATACTTGCTGTAAGACTGAAGTGTACTGGGAACACATTTGCTTGCGACTCATGCACGAATGGCGCGTACGTGAAAATGCTAGTGAAGAGGCGGCAAGATTAACGGAAATGTTGAGGTGATGGTAGAGTTGAGGAAAGGAGGCAATAAAGTGGTTGGCGAAGTTCAGAGCTGGGGAGAGCAGTCTGGATGGTCAGTAGCGCTCGGGTCGTCCACAGAAAGTTGATTGACAAGCTGTTCTTGAGATGGTGCAAGAGAATCCCTTAGTGACATGCCGAATGCTAGCCGAAGAGTTTGATTGTTGCTTCAAGGCCATCGCCAATTTTCTGCATGAACTGGGTAAGGTTTGAAATAAGTCAAAGTGGGCGACACATTCTGTCCGTAACCGCTTTCATAACCGTCTGTGTATTACGAAAAACTGCATAATCTGCTTCAACGGTGGAGACGGTTATTTCACGAGCTCAAATTCAATTTACCTAATTGCCTGTAGGGCTTATGCGGACGAGTGCATTGGTGAAACGCGAAGACTACTCTGTATCTATATAGAAGGAACATGTAGCTGGTTAGCGCAATAATATACCAAAAACCCCACTTGACGCTCATGGGTCACCGGCACATAACGGAAAAGATTTTGAAGTAGAAGTAACTAATCCTCAAACGAAAAGGTAAAACCTCACTGCGCGAAACTTTTGAGGCGTTTTTTGTTCGCATCAAAAATCTAAAAATGAACCGCAGAGACGAGTGACTCGTGATCAGGCGTAATTTCGCCCCACATCTTAGATCGGATTTTTGATCTGAGCCAGGCAATGAGCTTGCCTATGTAAAACCCGCTGCGACTAGTCTACATAACAACTGGCGGACCTTGGAACTAAGCTTACGTAAATATTTTTTATCTGTATTGATTATGAAAGTATCTGACCGAATAGGCTATATGTCAAAATCTGACTCTTAGGCTGTGGAGAATTCGACACTTCTGAAATGTTGCCCATTGTATTGTTATTGCACTGTGTTACTATCGTATTTAATAAATACTATTGTTGAAAATCCCGGATTTGCTCAAAAAAATGTTACTGAATCATCAATCCATGCCGAGGTTATTAAATAGTGATGTTCTTTGATCAATTTCCAAAAATCTTTCATAAGTGTTCGTAGATGTTAACTATTTCCTTACACCTGATCATCACGGAGCTTTGAACACCTGCCTGTTGCTCATAAAGAGTAGGGAGTAGAGAGAACACAAATAGTAGAACACTTTCTTTGTGCACTTTTCGATTATCGTTCCTTCTTCCGAATATCTTGTTCATTGAGATTTCTTATGCTTTTACTGCTTTTTCGCAGTGTTACGATGTTTCAAATACACCTAACAGAATTGAGTGGTGGAAAAAAACTCGATCTGAGACGGGAGTTGAACCCACGTTTCATCCATACCGAGAGTGCGTGATATCACTACACCATCGAGGCACCGTTTCGCTATTACTCATTCTTCAACTTCTCTATCATAGCTGTTAGCCACCATCCTATAGCAACTTATTGCTGTGAAGCGATACTGCTTAACCGACCAAATCTGTTACAGGTTGGTGGCTGATAACTACGATTGAGGCTTTGGAGAATGAATGCTAGAAAAACGGCGCCTAGGTGGTGTAGTGGTAGCACGAGTCTCCAATATTTGTGAAACACGGGTTTAACTCCTGTAAGAGGTCGAAATTTTGGTCACCACTCAACCTTTTTAGGTATACTGCTTTACGTCGTCTGAGTCAGTACCTTCAAGGCCAACATCTGTGATGTGTGCATTGTTTTATATGTTGTTACCGGTTTCGTCACGGTCTTTATTGTTATTGTTTGCTAACAAGCGACCGAGAAGGATTTCCTAGTCTTTATTCACGGATATAAGAAAACCTCCTACTCAGAATATTCATTGAGACGTACTTCGCCGTACAACTCATTGATTAGCAACTTCACCCAAGTCTGCAAAAGTTTCATCATTATTGCATAGAACTTCTTGTGAGAAGCGAATGAGGATATCGATTGGAAAAGATGGCGAACCAGGAGGTCTTTGATGTATTGATGAGCCGTTCCAATGAACTATACGTGATCACATGAAGTCATCTGGAAACCTGGAAAACTAAACAAAGTACAGAAAATCTCCTTCAGGTCATTCGATTGAATAAAACAATGCGTGCAGCCCCTAAAATTAATGTGCATGTCCAGTGACAAAAGCCGCCAAGATTATAATGTTTCATAGCGCAAAAAAGTGACTACTAGAAAACTAACACCCATAGAACGATAGAGCAAAGTCTTTTCTATGATCCCCTTGAGGTTCAAACTTCTGAGGTGCCAAGTAATCGAAAAATCTCAAAAGGTATCGATGAACTGGGATCGCATGAATTGTGTTGCACTGTTTTTGACAAACCTTTATTGTTTTCTCATTTTCGAACACTCTGGTGACTTTTGGGCGTATAATCTGTATGCGCACAAAATATGGGAAAAGGTACAGAAGAGCAAGAAGCATCAAAAGAATAGAAAGCATCTAGAAACCTCCTCAAAACAGAGAAAAAATGTTAAACAGATAAAAAATCGCGCGTCATTCGCGGGTAGTGATGAGCGTTGCAATTTCAACGGTGGGAATGCACTTTGTGTCTTTTTTGCATTTGTTAAGTCATGCGCTTTTTGAAGTCTGCCAAAGGTTAACTCTTTTGATACGATGGGCCCACTGCGCTGGGTCTGACTCACTTGCGCCCGATGAGCAAGCAGTCCGTTTGCCGATGGCTAGTGATGCCTGTGCTCGAGAAGAACGTTGCTGGTCCGGACTCCCTCTACGGCTGTCTCACAGCGACACTTCTGTCGTCAGTTGGTATCGGAGGTCTCTCTAAAGATTGACTAATATGGCGAACAAAACGCCTGATTCATAACAGTCCATTGCTTTTTAATAGGAAACGTAGATCCACATGGTAACAACTCATATCCACTTCTTTATCGCATTTCTTCCGACAATGTTACAAAAGTCTGACTCGAAAACTTGTTTTCTGCAGTGTATGACTTTCAATAAGAACTTATATAAAAGTGGATGCGGTCATCTTTGTAGAAGACGTACGTTGGCTCTGTTGCTACCTATGGATCTACGTATCCTATCAAAAAGTAGTGATTTGCATAAAAGAACCTTAAATACTAATCTACACTAAGAAACAACACCAGAAGAGTTACAAAGAAGCGTCTCAGGAAGGAACCGAACCACTAATCTTCTTCCCTTTGGCCGGCATTACCAACCAGCCCGCACTATGGACTGCTCGCAGCGATTAGCATCGTGTGTCTGTCGTACCCGAAAAGTTGACAGAACTATTACAAAGAGCAAAAATTGGAGGGAGACTCAATTATTTTTCTACCTACATGGAGTAAAAGTACTTTTTACAAGAGTTAAAACAATCTTACTGGAGAAAAAATTACTTACTGCACTCCTTCAAGGCCTCTGCTGCTTACCACTAGGCTATTTTCTCACTATTTCACAATGCAGGAAACAAAATCTGTGCTAATAAATGATCGTGTCATAACAATGGAATTGAATGATTAAGCGTTCACCATTCAAGGAAAAGAATCAATTAAATTTGTTTTTTTTTCTATATGACCCCACTCTAGATTGTTAGGCGGGTCTCTTTAATTCTTCCATTCAATTCTTTGGATCGCATCCATCACTCTAGAAGTCCTTATATTTGCGTATAGAAACCACTGCAGTCTATGAACTTTCCTCTTTTTTATTTATACGTAGTTGAACGTTAGCGGAGAACCACCTGTGTTAAGGCGTCCCCAAGTATTCACGGCAAGTACTCACCAACCTTAAAGAATTGAGGAGCTTCCTAATTAAGTCTAGTACAAATCTTCCGACCCCAAAGAAATGGGACCCCTGGTGAGCCCGTGGCGTTGCCTAAGCGGGACCTCCAGTCTATCCCCAAGATTGCAAGGAGACGTGCTGAACCGGCATTTTACAACGTTCAAGAAGAACGCAAAAAAACAAATCAAATGCTAGAAGCACTGGAAAATGCACGGTGAAAAAAAAACTGCGAGAAGGATCAAATAAAATGCTAAAGCGAAAGCTTTTGGAAAGGCATGAATGTGCTCACTTTTTAAGTGTTCTTTCTATCTGGAAGTTTGAGGAACTAAGAAAATGAGTTTGAAAAAAAATCTTTTTAACTAGTCTTTGCTTACATTATCCTTGTAATAAAAGTAAAAACATTTTTCAGAAATTCGTAAAAGCGCTATCAGTGCTGTATCGATGAACAATCGATGAGAAATCAGAGTGGCTTTACAAAATCTATGATCCGAAGGATTAATGTGAAATAACCTTGCAGGGTCATTCTACGTTATCAAGTCTAGTGCAATCACCTTGCAGTCGGCACTTTACAGTGTATTTCAAATGAAACTGTGTCA